AGAAAGGGGGGAGGGGGAGGAGCTGGAGATGGGGGGGATCAAGTCTCGCGTGTGATAGTGTGTTGGCGAGGGAGTGTGTGTGGGCGGGGTGGGTTGGGGTTGGGGGGGATAGAACTCTCATTCCGATGGCACGCCACTGAACCGAAACGCAGCTACTAAACACTGGAGTAAGCGGGAGCGGGGATCTCCCTTTCTTCCCCTTTCTCTCTCTCAACCGCTCTCCCCCGTGCTATCTCGGCCCCTCTCCCTTCCGGGTCAGCGAGGAGCGCGCTCGAGGGAGAGCTGGAATGGAAGACAAGGAGCGCCTCGTCGGTCCTGGGCCGCGGGGCGAGACGGGGTCACCCGGGACGGGGAGTATTCTTTACGTTCTGGGACCCGTTTCGGCCCGTACCGGGTGGTCAGACACGGCCCGGGCGGGCAAGCTGTTCCTCCCTCAGAGAGATAAGCTCACTCAGTCGCGTGTCACGAAGTAATATAAACTTTTCTTGAAATAATGAAATTCCCAACACCTGTCGCGAACATAAATCAGCCCAAAGTTTGGGGGATGAGCGGTAAATAAGCAAACTGTGTTTAAATTGACATGGATAGCAGCGTATCGTGACGTGTATCTGGTAGCGGCGCCAGCCCCGCAGGGCTCGGAAAAGTGAGGAAGGGGTGGCGGGGGGGCGCTGTCGTTTCCGCTTCCGGTCAAAACAGAGTTAATTGGGCGCACACTGCACACACATGGCACGCTACATTTTATGTCGAGTTTCCTTCTTGCCACGCACATTTTGTAATGGTTCGCTTTCCCTGTTTTGTTTGTTGCAGAACCTGAAGAACCAGATCATGACGACCAACTTGTGGGTGGAGCAGGTGAGTTTTCTGCTACTTTCCAGCCCTCCTTTTTCTGTCTGTGCTAATTCCAACCACTCCACCCGCCCCATCGCTGCCCCGCCCGTCACTCCGTCCCCGACAACTTTCGTTTCTGCTAAGAGGCGCACGGATGCACCCGACCGGGACCGCGGGCAGATTTAAAACAAAAGTCTCTCGCGGCTGCCCTGTCTCCGCGATCCTGTGCATAAAAAAACCGCTGCTCCCGGTCCAGACAGCGCGACAGCGCCGCGTGCCGACCAGAGATGCAATGCGCGATTAATTATTTTCCTTCTCCCTCGTCTATTTAGAAAAGAAAGTGCTTTCGTTCCTCCGGATCAGTTTTATGCCCTTCTCTCTCTCTCTCTCTCTCTCTCTCCCTCTCTCTCTCTCTCTCTCTCTCTCTCTCTCTCTC